AAAAAAATGGTGGGACAACTGTACTGAAATCCTAATACAGAAAAAAAGGCCTTAAATAGCTTGCCATAATCTTTTAATATTACTTAAAAAAAAACAGCTTCACTACTTATAAAGTGGTGGGACCAAATATACAAGAAACATGCAGGAAAAAAATGTGTGTGTGTGTGTCTATATATATACGGACCCAGAAGCTTATCATCTCTTTTTATGCCTATGAGATGTCCATTGCATTATGTTTTATGAGTAACCCTCTTTGTTTTTCATATGCAGCTGCAGCCGAAGGGTCTCTTCAAAGCACAGATTGAGTTTCGCAGTGTTTTGGTCTGGATCAGTAACGCCATGGATAAGAGCAGGACACATGAGATCCACTAGCTCTCCACACTGGCACAGATGAATCAGGATTCAGTATGGAGGCAAATGCATTTCTACACACCCATCCACAGCCAGACACACACATCCTGCAGTCGAGGAACAAGGTTCAAATGAACACAAATACCATAAAAAACACAGTGGCTTGAGTCATATAAAAACACTATCACTTCCTCTATCAGTGATCAACAGACTGCGTCCAAAGAAATGAATTGGATTTCCAGACTACACCAGCCATCAAGTCACATCCTAGGATTGACCTCCCTTTTCTAGGTTAATTTCACAAATCTCAGGGAAGCTATGGCAATTTTTCACATAGCAAATAGACCCAATGCTTACATGCATTGGTTAGTCAAGCCGTGGTTACTGATCTTTTGCATCATTTTGGTAATTCGGCATTATGAATAAAAATATTTATATAAAATGCATTATAGTTTAAAGGATACAGAGTAATATAGAATAATTGAAGGCATATTTATTATTTTCTTTGTGTATGTGTGTTAATTTTCAAATCAATCATTTATATTTTATTTGTATTTTTGTTTATATTTGTAATTGATTTGAGCCGTTTGAGATGTTGAAGTGGAAATTAGAGTTATTTTAATATAAAATATATAATATTTATTTTATTAAGTTATAATCAGACATTAACTGTAGGCCTTATTCTCCCTGTGAGCAATCATTCATTGTCAGTGTCATAAATGAACAAGATCAGCCATATTTGAATTTGATATTTGAATGTACATTGCTGCATGTAATGGAGTATTGTTTGCAAACCTTGAATTGAATAAAGTTTAAATCAGACTGAGAGGTTGCCATTGTGTTTGTCTTTTCAAAGCTTTTCAATGGCGCTCTGGTGTAGAATGTAAATGATACAGTACTGATCTAGCTGTCTCACACCATATGTGGTATTAGGTTGTCTCTAATTACTGTTCAGGGTTCTAAATGTGTCTAACTTAACATGGAAAATACAGTATCAACGGACTGCACATTGGAATGGCATACTCAGCACATTCATGAGTCATGACGCTGTATTATTCGCCCAGTGACTTTAGACGTAATTCATTTAGTCTTTTTTTCTATCACAAAACAGTACATTTGTGATAAAGTAAATCTATCATGAAGGTGGCAGTATTTGTCGACACGTACCGTCTGATACTAATACAAAAATTTGTCATGTTGCCATTGCAACCTCTTCAGGCGAACACGAACATTTATTTAGGCCTAGTATATATAAACTTTTGTGGTTATTGAAACATACAAATGTTACAATTATGTTAAATGATCATCTGATTCAAAACTCTTAATGAGGGCCTATGTTTTTCTTAAAAATGTATTCATAATGTCACTGGATCTGATATTAGAACAACAGGTGTGACGTCATACTCCAGCACCCCGGCCCAGACTGCACTATTTCTTTTCATTGGCTCCCTCTAGTGGATCATATTTCGGTATTGCACTCTCAGCTGCATTGAAATATTTGCCAACTTGGCAAGCACAGTCTGAGCACGCAAAGCATTCAACGTGCAAATTTGAGCACGATTATAATCCAATTCAAAAGTTTCTAATATATTCCTATTTAAAATATTGCACAATACAATACAGCAAACAATCACATTTTGCTGCAATCATGTTTAAAATCGTTTTTTTTAAAGCATGAAAGATATGACTAACATTTTTTAGTCATCTTTTTTTTTTTTAACTAAGCAAATGTATTCAATCCTATGTCAAACTCTGTCACTGTCATCATAGCTGCAGTTCCTGGAAGTCGTAGCACCATGAAACGCGACCACAATCGTCTCTCTCACATCGCCACCAAACAACCCAACCTATGCTCAGTTCTGGTGCAACGAAAGGGCGCGGGCATGCATGCACACACAAACACTTAGATACACAAAAATAAACACAACTTTCTCTCTCACTATTGTTCTTCTTAGCCACACAAGCACCAACAAGCAACTTCTGCAAACGCTGGTTAGGCTACATCAAAACTGCAAGGTTGGAGTTTCAAGAGGTTAGGAAATTTAGATTTTACTCACAGCAGCCAGTCAAGTCTTTCTAGTTAAACACATTTGCCTGTTAGGAGCAATCATTAAAACATAGTTTAACCAAAAATGAAAACAGTCATCATTTACTCATCCTCATGTTTTATTCTGTGAAACAACAAAAAAAGAGATTCTTAGAAGAAAGTTCAAGCTCCATATGGGTTTAAAATAACATGATGGTGAGTAAATGATGAGTAAGTCATTATTTTGTCTTTGGGTGAACTATCTCTTTAAGTTTTAATACAATTTTTAGAATAATAAATGAGGCTGTAAGCTTTGTGACTTAAAGAGATATCTCACCCAGAAATGAAAATTCAGCCATCATTTAATCACCAGCCACTTGTTCTAAACCTGAAAACTATAAGTTCTTTCAGTTTTTGAAGACAAAAAAGATATTTTGAAGAACGTTGGTAACCAAACTGTTGATGGTAGCCATATCTATAGTATGGAAAAAAATACTATGGAACTCAATGGCTACCGTCAAATTTGGTTACCAACATTCTTCTCAGTAAATGATGGCAGAATTTTTATTTCTGGATAAAATATCCATTTAATAAAGATAAATTAGCAAAATTAATATTAAGCAAATTTTAAATCATTATTAGCATCATATCAAACCATTAGCACACACTACTTAATTTGCATATATTGAATGGAAATACTCTGCTTCCCCAGTAACTTTATCATAAACCACATTTCACCATAAGTGCTTACATAAATAATTGGAACGTTGAGTAAAATGCCACCTCAAATCCTCCTCGCAAACGAGGAAAAAGGTGGGAGAAATCGGGTGAATTTTGACTCCTGTGCTCAGAAGCAGCAGCGCTAAGCGAGCACCTGACCACAGCAAGCTTAGCTCACTGGAAACTCACAGTTAAGCTGCTACGCAGATGGAGAGGCCGCAGAGGAAGCACTTAGGTCATTGACTCAGTGACTCAGTTAACAATAGAGCTGAATCACTCTCTTTTCCAATAAGGAGTGGAGACTGGAAGGCCCTCGACTCAACTCTTTTCGCTCATGGTTCGTTGTCTTCGTCAAAGACTTACGTTTTTAAAAACGTATGCGAACAGGATCACATCGATTCATAGATAGTATAGAGTTAAATTACTTGGTAAAACCTCGCAGTGACACAGTTTCAATCTATCTTGACATGCGGATGGTAAAGGTTGGGGTCGGATGTGTCACAGAATTGCCCTCTTGTAATTCATTGTGGAAACTATTTGTGGTCCAACTGGCTGGTAGTTTTAGTGAACATTGGGCGGTAACACTGTTCTATCACTAACTAACGATAAACTATTATAAATAAATTAGTACATAACACTCAGTTGCATGTGGTAGCTCACTATTAGTGAATCAAAAACAACTTTTTTCATACCTCGCAGAGAACTACTAGGAATTATTAACAGCACTCAATCAGTTTCTTGGTAGTTAATAGTAGTTACTAGAATGTTAATATTGTGTTACCCATTTGTCCTGTGTGGTTATTCATTAATGAAAGAACAGCATTCTAAAGTGTTACCACACTTTTTTAAAACCATGATTACTAAAACCACTAGCCAATTAGACCACAAACAGTTTTCACTATTTAGTTATTAGTTAGTAGTAGTTATTAGAACACTAATACTGTGTTATTAAGATAAATGAAAGTGTGTTAACCTTTTCACTGAACTAACTTTACTTTTCTGAGCCATTTCTGTACCCATAACCAGCTGATCTCAAAGTGATTTTTAATGGATGTTATCAAGTTTATTTACCACAGGTGTAGTTTATCACATTTACTACAGTATGAACATGATTCGCCAGTAGTCAGAAACCAGAAAATGACTTTTTGTCTTCAATATGGATAACATATCTTGTTTTATCATTTAAAACCTGATATATTTTCCTTGAAATGTATGTTGTACTATATTTCTTGAAAACCAATAACACTTTCATAGTTTGTTGTTTAAAGATTTTTAAGTGCAGCTGAAGTATCTTTTTATGTTTGATTCAATGTTCTGCAGTGCCTGTGGACCATATGCATGAGTGCAATCAGATAATTGTAAAAAAGTACAAGTAGAAATCTAACAAAAAAGAAAATACTTACATGTTTAAGAAATATATTTACTCAAAAGCATCATTTAGCTGGAGCCACTTACATGTAAGCATGTAAGCCTGTAATAGTTTTATTGTTTTTGAGGGATGGCTGTTACTTAAAAAATGCAAGTAGTTGCATGTGCATTTACCTATTGATGCCACCTGGTGATTTCAGAAAGCATTTTCATTCTTCAGATCTATTCATCTCACTGTTCATCATGCTCACTCGAGCATACCCATGCACAACTTAAACTACATGGTTTTAAGTGCAGTGACAGACTCGTTTAAGAGGATTTCTGAGGTTCACATTCAGAGAACTGACGTTGCCACACAACAGTATGTATGAGGGGGAATTCAACTGAAAAACTGTGTGGCCACAGGCTGTAAAATGTAACTTAAGCAAATCTTAAGCAAACCACAGATCAACCACCAATGCTACAGAAATGCATATGGGATCAGAAATCCAAAACATGCATCATGTTTGATTTAATCTTTTAGCAGTTTTATAATAAGAAGGTCTTGTGTCACAAAAGCTCAAGTGCACTTCAAAATCTAAACCAATACATGTGCAAGAATGCATTTATAAATGCATGTACATAAAGGGTCAAAAACAATGTGGATGCATGTTTTAGATAATCATCTATGTCAACACAATCACAAAAGAATATACAGGAATACGATTACATTTTGTGAGTATTTGAAATGTGAGATGGAAGAGATTTAAGACGGATGTAAATTCACAAAAAAATGTCCGATATTACCGAAAATACCCAATGAAAGCTCATTTCTGCCACATCATCATCATGAAAAAATCCAAATTATGAGGTGGAAAGTTATGAGATAAAAAGCCGACACTGAGATACTAAATCATAACTGAGACACCAGACATGAGATAAAACTAAATTCTAAAATAAAAATGAGAAACTGAAACTGAAATTAAGACATGAAGTCATAATTATGAAATAAAAATTAATATTACAATATAAAAAGTCATTCTGATTGTGACTCACAACCTTTCAGTTTCAACTTTTACTTCATAATATCAACTTTTTATCTTTGTAACTTTTTATAGTATGTCATAATTAGAATTTATCTCGTAATTATGACTTAGTATCTCATTATTTTTAATATATTAAGGAATTATGACATAATTATGATTTACCAAAGCATGATTATTATTTTTTTCTTTCTATCCTCACATTATATCTGGGCTGATTTAAGATCAGATTCCTTTCCATCTAGAACTGTCTGTTTCTGGAATTACAGATCAGAAACGAAATGAAACCAGATTTGTTCTGCTGCTTATTTCAATGCTGTGCTTGTCGACAGGACTTTTCTTGAAGACTTTCTGCTACTTTACTCTGATCCAAGACCCAAAGACCTGGACCGAAGCCCAATCGTACTGCAAGACGTATCACACAGATCTGGCAACGATTCAAAGCGATGAAGACCGATATAATTGCATAACACAACAAACATGAAAGAGGATAGAGGATAGCCATTAGTTATCAAATAATGCCACAATCTCTAAGTATATATTGTATATGTGGTGGTGATCCAACTTTCAATATGCTGAGTCAGTTCATCTGAACAGGCCAGCAACCCAGTTTCTTGAAGGCTTGTTCGGTGGCTTGCAACCATGGCAATGTTCAATAAACAACAGTCATATGAATCCTTATGAAAGCTGCCCATTGGGTTTGGGGTTGGGTGAAGGCAGGATATCTCCGGAATACAGGAAACCTTTTTAGAAAATTATGCCACAGAAACCCCAAAACCAGATGGGCATCCCCTGCCACCATCATGTCGTTGCTCTTAGTTGTGCACCTATATAAACCCACAGCCCCATCCTCGTCAAAAACACTCACCTGCTAACTAGCATCACGTTCCGGCACCGTGCTTACAGCTGCGTGTTTAACAAAAATGTATAGTCTGCTTAACATGGTGTACTTGATATGTGCACTTCACTTAATAGTGTCTCTTCAAGGAACTGTCGGAGCCAGACTTCCACAGTCCCAACATGACAAAGAGCAAATGCTGAAGAACATAAGAGAAAAAATTGAACCTCTGCAAAAGCATTATGTAAGTAGTGTTTGCTGGCGACTTCTGCATTGATTTTAAATATGTTTTGTGCAAGCATAAATCACTTTATTCCTCAGTTTGATATTGCAGTATGGTGATGCTAGTATAAGATGGACAACACTGCTATGGGGCAATGCAATTCATTTATAAAAGCCACTCTTTTATGTCTGCTTTTTAGCAAACAACTGGCACAGAATGGTTTGAAAAATCTGTTTTGCTTTCTCATCTGCACCAGCTGAATGTAAGTATTCAAACCATTGTTACTGTTAATAATGATAAAATCTGAAAAAAAAAATTGGAAAGGATGTTAATGATACTTATTTCTTTTAGTCCAAGGCCTCCTGCACTTGTCAGTCTCTGCTGCTTGATAGAATGTTGAACATCACTGAAATAGTTTTGCAAGACATGAGAGGGAAAGCTGAGAATGAAGAAACGAAAACCAGCCTAACAGATGTAATGACTGAGGTGAAAATGCTGAGACACAAGTACAGTGAAGAACAGAAAGTATGGAGGGAGCTTCAGGACATTCACTCAATCGAGGTACTAATAAAGATTATAAACGTTGTCCATAAATGTTGTGATGATTGCCAAGATTATAATTTCTAGTTGATCTGTAACCAGTGTTGGGGCATTACAAGTAACGCGAGTTACGTGATCAGATTACTTTTTTCAAGAAATTAGTAAAGTAACGCATTACTTTTAAATTAATCATGAAATATCTGA